TCTGAAAACTATATATTCGCTGTGGTTGGATTTGGATGTTATATCGCAGTGGTTGAAAACTATGTATGTTGCTGTCGTTTTGTATGGATATTTGTGTTAGTGGTGTTCTGAAAAAAATATATGTTGATGGCGATGCGTAAGCCATGAAATTTCTGTATTGTTGGTGTTATAATGTATTGTGAAAAATAATGATGCACAGTGGTAACGCCGACAGTAATGGACAAAACATTACTGTCGGAACAAACAAAATGGCGGCGGTGACGCTGCCCCTCATTACCTCCGGAGGGAACACTAACCGCGTGCACTAGCACCTACATCACCGGCGGATGGACGCTGGACCACCATTGATGTTCTCGTCATCACAACCGGATGGTATGCTGGTTCGACATTGATGTTCTCGTCGTCACAATCAGATGGTACGCTGGTCCAGCGTTGATAGGTCCATCATCACCACCGGTTGCAACGCTAACTCAGCGATGATAGGTACCTCATCACCGCCGGATGGCATGCTGGCCCGGCGTCGATGGCTGCATCTTCATCGCTAGATGGTACATCAGGCCGGCGTTGATGGTTACATCATCATTGCTGGATCGTACGCCGAGCCGGCGTCAATGGAGGCATCAACACCGCCAGACGGAATGCCGGGCCAGCGCCGATGGAGGTGTCATCACCGCTGGATTGAACGCTAGGCTGGATGGTACGCTAGGCCGATGTCGATGCACGCATCATCACCACTGGATGGTACGCCGGGCCAGCGTTGAAGGACGCATTATCATTGCCAGATGGTACACTGGGCCAGCGGGGGTAAGATACCGTCACCGCCATATGGTATGCCGGACCGATGGTGGTAAAATACCATCACCGCCAGCGCACAATAGGCGGAGGTAAAGTTCGCCAATCACTGCCGACTTACACCAACGGGGGCCAAAACCGTCGGTAATGGGGGTTCTGGAGCCGGCGGTGATGAGCTTTCTGTAGTAGTGTCAATGCATGGCGGTTCAACCATTGTGCATCGCGGTCCAACTAGTGTATAGTGGTGATACAACTGTGAGGTTGCCATCAGCATCCCAAACTCCTTTCTTCCATCTTCTTCATGCTTTAGTATTTTTAGCATAACTTTTAGCTCCGAACTCCGATTTTGATGATCGTGTACTTTTTCGAAAGCTAATGGAGAGCTCTATGGCTTAAACTAATATCAGATTAATTTGAGCAAATCCAAAATCACGAGACAAGACCAATTCATTCTTTTCTTTGACTTGACTTCAATTTTATTTGTTTCTTCACATCTAGGCTTCTATTTCAAGGTGTATTAGACTTCTAGCATGTCTTGTAGGTCTTCAACATAACTTCTAATGTATTGCTTGAGATGTTGATCATCTGGATCAACACTTTGCCTAAGTCCAAGCCCACCTTGCATCCATTTGAACTATACTATGTATACCAAATGTCGTTAGTCCAAATGGTCTTGTTGATCAAACAATATCCTGTCGACAAGAACTACACTATATCCTGTCGGTTTTTAGAAAGTCGTCAGGAATAATTAGAGTCGTTAGGAATTGTCCTGAGTCTAGTAGTGATCAAACACTAAAATCCAAACATAATGGACCATAGGGTCCATTTTCCATACAATCTCCCCCTTTTTGGTGCTTGATGACAACACGATCAAAGCAAGCAAATAATAGATGCCAATTGAAAATAAACATCATCTACTTGCTTGGATGCAATGCAAGAGCAAGATCATTAGACACTAAAAGATTCGAAATGAGGAAAATTTAGAATACTTATCTTGCCCTTGCCATTGTATACATGTTCTCTTATGTGGCATTATAGACTTAAGCCTCCCCATACCTCCATAATCCACTTCCTCGCTTTCTCAGACCAACTCCCCTTAATTAATCCCCCCCCCCCATTTAATACCAACTGAAAACTTGAAAACATAAATTTGTCAATTTGGTATTTATTAGGGGTTAGGTTTGCTTTTGGTCCTTCAAATTCTCCCTCTTGAAATCAAACACCAAAAAGAAATACATTAGTAGCACGAGGAAGGATAATCGTTTTGCCTTCCTCCATCGATTACCAATTTTTAGGTTCCTATAACAAAACTTAAAAAAGGAGATCGCACCGTATGACCCACCACTAAAAATTATTTTTTAGAAAATAAAATTGACTGTAAAAATAGAAAAAAAAAATCCAAGGAGACGCACACTAGTGACGACTCCACGATTTTTCATGTGAAATACACATTGATCCTAGTCAGTTGAAAATCAAGACCTCTTGTCTCTCTCATGAGACTCCCCTACCACTACACTATAACTTGTGACTACAATTCTATCCTTTTTAACAAATCTTGATTCAAATATAGCACCCCTATAAGGTTTTAAAATCTCGTCAAGCATTACAACTTTAGTATAAGGCGTCTCTCTATCCGAGGTTATTAAAACTTTAGAAAAATAACTATTTAAATCTAAGAACATAAAACATGCATGGACCTAAATGATTTTAAATGAAAAATTGTAACTACAAAGTTCTAGATCTCTTCAAAGTTTATAACTTCGTTTAGAAAAATTACGATATTTTTGTGCTGCACCTATATTTAGGGCGGATCAGATTATCATGGTAGCTGAAAATTGATTTCTAGAGGTAGTTGATGTTTCCAAGTTCCAATCACTCTAAAAATGCACTATTTCTAGAAATAGCATTCATAGAGACGATTAGTGTTACCAACGGTCTTTCAAAACATAGAGAATTAATTTCAAGAGGCGGCTAGAAACACCAGCCACCTCTAGAAATATATTTCTACAGTCAACTCGTCTCTAGAACCATTTTTAGAAACTTTTTTTCTACAATCGCAGCTAGAAAAAGCAAGACACCCTTAAAAATGTTTATGTAGTAGTGTAACCTTTGTTGTCACTAAAAATGATGAATTATGAACCTTGATTTGTGACAAATTAATTTTTCTCATTATCTTATGAGGATTTATAGAGGTTATAATTTAAGACGCCATGCAATGCGCAACCTTTATACTCAAGCACGTATAATCTCCTACGACCATGGCTCACCACATCAACTGTTAATTCTTTTTAGGCTCCTGTAAAGTTATTAGTTACTATGTATGCCCATTCACTTCACTTGATCGTACTCTCAGTAAACAAATGTGACATCAGTATCCAAAGTTCATAGCCTTATGGAATAATTTTTCTTATATATATCTTTTTGTAGGAATGGCACACAAAAGCCATTTTCATTGATAGAGATGAGTTATACATCCAGCTAGATTAGTTTACAGAAAGCATTACTCTCTAGCTGTAAGAGAGGCCTGCCTCTTAAATGTTACTCCCTCCGTTCCAAATTACAAATCATTTCAACTTTTTTGGAAAGTCAAAGCATCTAAAGTTTGACCAAAATTATAGAGAAAATCACAAAGATTAATAACATCAAATGGGTATAATACGAAAATATAATTAATGAAGAATTTAATGACACTTATTTGATATCATAAATGTTATTATTTTATTATATAAATTTACTCAAAATTGAGATGTTTGACTCTCCAAAAAGTTGGAACAAAATAATTTGTGATGGAGGGAGTACAATGGTTTTTCTCTATTAATAAGTTCCAAACATTTATCACCATTTGCTTTTTATAGTATTATTCACCAAGTTTTGCATTAATCTTTTTTAAAATAACGTAGCAATATACGGGAATATTAGGTCCATTGCCCCTGTCTTTCAACTAATAATACACAGGAATTAAACCAGTAGCTTGAATTCGAGAGCCTGCATGCTTAGCCTTTGGGATTATAATCCAATGGCTTCAACCAATTTCAGGACTTCTTTTTATAACGCATCTTGTAAATGCATAGAGTAACCTTAGCTTATCTCAAGCTACTATATCTTTTTTTATTGAGAAACCAGCCCAAGTTAGGGGCGTGGCTAGTGCCCACATGCCCACGTCTGGACGCCCGCGCTTGCTAGCCTCCTCACCTGCCCGCTTGCTTATTCGCCCGCGCCTGCTGTTGCGCCCCTACGCTACTCCTTGGGGACCGCCCACGTCCACCTTCCTTCCCGTGGACACATGGAGACCGCCTGCGTCTCTAGCGCCTATTCATGAAACACTTACCACATGAAGCACTTATTGCAACATACATCTCAAACAGATGAAACATTTGAAACATATATACGCTTGCAACATATTTGTATAGACACTGTAACATATGCATCATCTAGATAAAACAATTGCAATATACGTCTGAAACAGCTAAAACATTTAAAACATACACTTGCAACATATGTGTATAACCATTGTAACATATGCAATATAAGATCTACTTTACAACATCCAAATGAAACACATGCAACATCTAAATAAAACATATCAAATATATATCTAAAATGCATGAAACATATGAAGCTCGACGCTAGCATGGAGCTCAATGCCACGGAGTGGCATAGATGTCGCCAGTGCGGAGCTCATCATCGGCTGCACGAACCTCGGCAGTGGCCTCGGTAGACGGAAGGAGTACATGGCCACGGCAGGAGGCGCAAGTCCAACCGGGAGACGCGGTGGAGGCCGTGAATTCGAGCGGGCAGGGCGCGCGGCGCGCAACGCGGGCAGGCGGGTCCGTCCGTCCGTCTGGGACAGGCGCCCTCAAACCAAGCATTAGAGCATCTCCGGAAGACTCTTTATATCTTTCCTAATTCACATGAATAGAGATTTTGGTGAAAAATTACTCTCCAAGAGTCTCCAATTGGATATCCTAATATAAACATCTTTTATTCTGGATTTTTCGCTAACTAAATATAGAGAGCGAGGATGACTCTCTAGACTATACACAAGATATAGAAAAGTTGTTGAAAGGTAGAGAATAGATTTTACAAAGGCTTTTGGAGATGCTCTTATCGTAGCTTATCCAAGATTTAAAGTTTCTGAAATCTGGAATTATTAGATGCGTGTAAGGTACCACTGCTAAACCATACTCCTAGGCATGATACGGGGATTATTATGTGATGACCGTGGCGCAGGTGGCAGCGATGACGTGCATGTGAGCGATGGCGCGGCCGCGGACGAGGAGGCAGTCGCCGTGGGCGACCTGGACGAGCACGCGCGGGTCGACGTCGTCGTCCACGTGGCGGAAGTCGTAGGCGCATGCGAGGTGGACCGCGGAGACGGCGGCTCCGGCCTGGTTGGACACCGTCACGCCGTACTTCTTAGCGCCGTCCAACTGGATGTCGCCGGCGCTCTCTTTGACCACGACGTCCCTCAGGGGGTCGCATTGGCTGTCCGCCGCCGGCGCGACGAGCAGGACGACTACCGAGGCTATCATCACCAGCACGGCGGCGACAGTCGCCGGTCCAGCCACCATTTTTGGAGCTGATTGCAGCTCCACCTGCACCGCCCGGCACGACGACGAGGGAACTTGGAACAACACGTAGCCGGTGGTGGATGCATTTCCCCGGCTTCCCACATGTTTATATATGGGCATATAGGAGATAAGAGGTACGTAGATGATTTGGAAGGGGCAGTAATAAAATGTATGCCAGTAAATGGCAAGGCCACCGCATCTCTACACTTATTACTCATCCAATTATATTTATATACAATAACTCTACACTGATTACTCGCCCAATATTTATAGGTCTGTCTAGACATCTGTCAACAGATTTGTGAACCCAAAATCAGTCAAATTTTTGACAAATCACAAGATGACACGTCTACAGGGAAAAAACTGCTGTCAGATTTTTAAAACACACAAAACCAAATAAGATCCAAAACCCGTTAACGAAAAGTAGCGCCTGAATAAAAGTAATTAACAAAGCAGCAGCGCCTGAACACACGCGCTGACACCAGAGACACACACACACCTGCTGCTTGCTTGCCGGCCTCCCGGTCCCAGCCGCCGCCGGCCTCCTGCAAGCCGCGGTCGCCGGTCGGCCAGGTCTCGAGCTGGCGCCTGGCGTCCAGGCCTCCAGCTGGCCTCACTTCCTTCGCGGCTCCGCCCTCCACCGGCGCGCCCCGTCCTTCGGCGGTCCGGCCTCCACGGCTGCGCCATTGGCCGGCGCCCAGCGGCCGCAGCCCACGCCCAGCTGGCCGCCTGCCTGCCTGCCCAGGCCGCTAGGGCCTTCTGCGGTTCTGCCGGTGCCGAATGGCGGCTGCACCCTGGCTCCTGCGCTGCAGTCCTGCTCCTCTCCTCCCGCTGACTATGCTCATATATTTTGCATGCACACAGGCCTGGCATCATGCATAGGAAAAGTAGTAGCGTGCAAAAATTAACTGTTACTACAGTAGACCTAATAACTAAAATGTTGGACAAGGTAAAATCCATCAATCATAAGGGTCGGATGAATATTACCATCTTGTAAGTGGACTTGCTGTTCCATGGTCTGCAGGCAAATCTTCAACTCACTATTCTCGGTTGTTATTCCAGTGGTGTCTCTCTGATTTGCTGTTGCCAGACCGAAGAGATACCAAAACTTGTTAGCAATGTACTCAAGATAGCTCCCTGCAACGAGTACAACATCTAGATAGAAGACATCATGTGGACATCGGAAATGACAGTAGAACAGCAAGGATAGAGCTTAACTATACCTTGGTCATTAAGAAAGAAAATATATAAGAACCTATGATGCCATTGTTCCTGTCTCAGTCTACTTGCCAGTCACCTTATGTGGATTCAGTTCAGTAATAATGCTCCCTTCAGCATTCCCAGACTAAGGGACAACAAATTCTCTAATCGTGAACTACAACAACAATCTCTAAAGCACCCAGGGATTGGCGAACAACTTGACACCCATGAGAGGTGCCCTGCTAAACTGTTGTTTCAAGCACAGCCATCTGAAGTGCACAAATCAGAGGCACACACACAAACCAAAGCTAGCACCGACACAAACAAAGACATCCACACAAACAGACACAGTCACACTCGCACTCACACTCACACTCACACTGACAAACTGACCCCAAAGCTAGCATACAAATATACAAAAAAACTAAACTAAAAAAGAAAAAAAAAGAAAAAGAAAAGGCCCACAAAAACAAACACAAACACACAGACGCCCCCACACACACGAAAACACATACACACACTCACACTCGCTTTCCAGTAGCAGAAGCAACTCTAGTAGTAGCACCTCTAGCACCTTCATCAGCGACACACACACAGACTCACACACAAACAGAGGGAGAGAGACACACACACAAACAGACACACCAGAAGCGCCAAAAAACACAATCACAAACCCACACACACACCATGTACACACTCACACTCACATCAAAGCTAGCAAACAGAGAGAGAGACAGAGAGAGAAACACACATACACCAATAGCTATCAAAGGCACTGCACCCTCAACCACACACACAGACAGAAAAAGACACACACACAAAGAGGGAGAGAGAGACACACACATCTGAAGTGCACAAAACAGACACACACACTCACACTCACACAGAACCACAAAACAGACACACACACTTTTTGCAGCTACCCCCCACCCCCTTTTTTTGTTTTTAGGTCTACTGTTGTTGATATAGGAGGATGCATTCTGAGATACTTCTCACTTGGGGAATCTATGGCTGCTGGAAATGAAGTCTGCACTTTTGTCGTTAATGCTCTTTGCCAAAAATATTTTCTGGATGAGCGCCCAACTGTGTCAAGGAAGCACTACTTCTCTTCTGTAGCTATAAGTGTATCCATAACAGGAGCTGAAAAAGAATCCCAAACAACAACAAATGAAAACCATCCAAAAAATGCTGCTCATCCCCCTCCCACACCCACAAATACACAACGAGGTGAACCTGCTCAAAAACTTGCAAAGAAAGAACTCAAACAACCAAAAAAATAATTGACACATTCACTACTAGCTGAAAAATTAAAAAAAACTCAAAATAACGAACCAAGAAAACCTCAAAGTTGCAAGCAAAATTAGAATACTGAAATAGAATCCCAAGCATCAGCAGATGAAAAACAACCATAAAACGCTGCTCATCCCCATCCCACAACCAAATAAACACAACATGGAAAACCTGATCAAAAACTTGCAAATAAAAACTAAAAAACTAAAAAAAAAACAATTGCAACATTCACTACTAGCTGAATTTAAAAAAAAAACTCAAATAACCTGCAGAGCACCAAGAAACCCTCAAAATTGCAAGCAAAAATAGAATACTGAAACAGAATCCCAATGCATCAGCAAATGGAAAAGAACAAATTACACATGTTTCAGTTCTGCAGGTTACATCTTTGTTTGGTCCTACACATCCACAATACAAGTGTTCACCTCAGGTAAAGTAAGATAGGTTCTATCTCTCTACAGTTTATTTACATCTAGTCCAATGACACAACAGATGAAGCTTTAATCTGGCAGACTGTGCTCATGGTAAAGCCATTCATGATTGACCAGAACTCTAGATTATGTGAATGCCTAGTGAGTTCATATTGATCACATAAAGCACAGGAATTGTCACATGAAAAGAAAGAATGATCTGCAGCTTTGACAGGTACCGGTACTCTTAACTCCATTCTTAAAAGTTGTGCAAGCAATTTTTTATTTGTCTGCTCCACATATCCAAAATCTAAACTCAGAAGAAATTGAAGATACAACATACTATTGGACGAACGACACAGATCGGTCAGGGGTCCAAGTTTACAAACATGCCAACTTCTCATAATTAGACAACCATGACTCTGCATCTTTATACCCAACAAAACAAGACTATCCAGCTATTATATCATGACAGGCAAGTTATAACAGCAGAAACAAAAGTAAACTCTAGTGAACAAAGGCAGTGTACCTGGGTGAGCAGACTGCGTCGGCACCCCAAGAGGCGACTCCTGCAAAGCAAGGACAAAGATACCCAAAGTAACAGAGCCTAACAAGTAACACCCAAAATCATTAGCCATTCAGAGAAACTTAAGCGCAGGCTGATACACAGACCTTGGTGTAGACCTTATCCCCCTTCTCGTTGATGTAGTACTGGAGATACATCTTAAATCAGCGTGCCGGGATGATACCTGATAAATCCAGCGAGAATAAAGAGGAATTACTCCTAATAATAACAAGAATTGCAGCAAACAAAAAGCAGGAGATCCTGCGGAGGGGGTACTGAATTTTTTATCCAGTCTGGTACTAGTATTAAGATGCAAGGACGTACAAAGAACAAAACAAACACATAGTTCTTACAAAAGGATGCAAAACAAAGATGAATCCTGTCTCTGGACACGGTCATGAATAGCGAGAGGTCTGACAAAGAAAGAAGCAGCAACCACCAAACCAGATCACAAAAGGCACCTTTGCACGAAGGCTTTGCATTTCTTATCCATCCTACCTACAAAGAAATTTCTCTAATATCCCGGCCCAAATTGCTACTCTCTTATTGTTTCGTCCATGAACAACCTAAATCTCAGCATAGAAACTTCCATCAATTTTCCAATCAATTAACAGGGTCCCTAAAATCTCTAAGAGAAATGGAAAAAAAATTAATTTAGTGGCAAAGGGCATTCCAGTTGAATTTGCACTCGAAGAACATCACAGCCTATCACTTTTCAGTTGAATGCTAAAACTATTAGAAATCAAAAGCATACTGAAGCAGTTCCTCCACACAAATTCAAACCAGTCACAAATGAAAAGAAGCTACACTCCCCTTAAGTGTTGAAAAGAACCAAACTCATACTCAAACAAGGTCAACGGGGTTTTGAATGTTCGTATAGCAATAAAATTCATGAAGCAATGAAGTTATTAAATAGACAAAAACAGCAAAAATGTCTATGATTCTATTGTCCCTAAAAATTTAGCCAAATCATACATAAAAGCAGAGTATCTTGAGTTTATCTGTTGGTCTGTACTAACACAGGCAACCAAAAAAACAGAGACACCCAAAAAGATCACTATCAAAAGATCAGCGGACAGATTATTTACCCAATTTATAAAAGGTTTCCAGCTGACAGGTGATAGATCCAATCAATAATATATTATCAAAATGCAAAACTTGCAAAGCGTACTACCATCAACCAAAGTAATCACTCACAGAATAACAGCAAGAGACTAAGACCACTAAAGATGGAATCAGGTGCCAAATGAAGAGAACACACATATATCATTCAATGTAGGGGGAAGTTGTGTGTGCCAGAAAATAGGGAAAACAAACAATTATATGTAAAGTCACACACTATTAATTAACATCATGCACCTTTGAGGCAAATGAGCCACACTCAAAAAAAAAAAATCAACAGATTTTTAACAGAAATGCACATTCAGGCACTCAACATGCCTACTGAAATGCATATATATAAAAACATCTGCAAGCCCATGCTGTAATGCTCCATAATTGTCACCGATAGATGGCATAAAAATTTTGGATGATCT